AATGCTTTACGAGACTGAGGATGAGGAGATGGACCAATATGCTGTTGAGCTGAACCAGTTCGTCGATACAGTGCTGCAGAAGGTGTACGACAGGATGGGCCAACGGAACATTATCTTCTCATCCTTCAACCCCGATGTCTGCCTAATGCTATCCTTCAAACAGCCCTCCATCCCGGTACTGTTCCTCACCGATGCGGGCACCTTGCCCGTGGGAGATGTGCGAGCGGCCAGTTTACAGGAAGCCATCCGATTTGCTAGTCGCTGGAATTTGCTTGGAGTAGTCACCGCTGCTGAGCCTTTGGTCATGTGCCCGAGACTTGTCAAGGTGGTGAAGGAAAGTGGTTTGGTGTGCGTCTCGTATGGCATACTGAACAACGACCCTAAGAATGTCTTGGTAAGCCACCCCTTTCCAACCGTCTTCTCGCTGCAGCATTCACTAACAATAACACAGCTCCAACGAAACGAAGGCATCGACGCCGTCATCGTAGACAGCGTGCTGAAGGTCCGCCAAGGACTCCAAGCACCGCACCAGGACTCCTCCAATGGCGTCGTCAACGGCGCATCGCTTGTGGTTCCATCTGAGTCAGTGCCTATCATCAAGCAGGCGGATGAAGTCCTGCAGAACGGCGCTGAGAGTAATGTGGCGGCCGCGAACGGAGTGGTGTGAGCTCGAGGGACGCACTTTCAACAATGGGTGGCTAGCGTTGGATTTCATAGATTTGAGCGTGTTGATCCCTAGGTAGTCCCTCAACGGGCTTGGATTTGGTCCGTTTAATCGATTATTTGCGAGGTGTTGCTGCTTTGCAGTGGTCGCTGTGTGATGACACCCTCGAAAGGATGTTCTTGGTCATGACAGACTATATTATGAGATGATTTGATGTCTTCGATGGGCTTGGCGAACAGTATAGTCAGACTAGCTTCGTGATGGGCTCAGCCCTAGCATCTACTCTTACAGTCGTCGACGATCAGATATGAATGAAAACATGTAGATCGGCGACGCGTTGAAGCAAGCATGATAGTGAAGAGGTGGAAAGACGGATATGTACTGGCCTAAACAACCCAGCCACCTTATACAAGGCAAAGGTTGAATAGGTCTGTAGCCTACATTAATGTAGAAACATGCAAAGTAGGTGGCCTAACGTTAACGTAGGCTCTAGAGTGTTAAGTTTTTTCCTTGATTGAGGCGCAGTGTAGATGCCAAGTGCCTGAAAGAGATCGGCTAGTGCCGTGCCTCTTGAATTTCGCGCCAAAATCTCATCGCAGGTAGTTCTTAATCTCCTTGTCCATCTTCAACGTCGCTAACACGGTACCAAAACCCGTCGTCTTTCTCGTCCTTTGAAGACCGACGAACCCACCCATCCGGGTGTTCACTATCACTTTACGTACTACTGTTCGTATACATCGGCATCCTAGGTATATTATGAAGTACCTAGGGTCCCGGTGTCTGCTACCCGAAGAGAGAGCTTGAACGCGAGGTTGCGAAGATAGAAAAAGAAATTGTCAAATACACTCTTGTCACGGGCAACGAACAGGATTATATCATGAGGCGTGTCTGTTCGGAGGTCACTGCGACACCGCTGGTATGTGCGCAGACTAGCCACATCACCGCTACCTATAAAACGCGCACCTTCGACTGAGCTTTCCTACTTCTATCAAAACCAGCATCTGAATTCCAAATATGAAAAGATGAATGGACAAGTACATCGCCTGTGGCCATTGTTCCCCTCAATGCATTTGTAAAGAAATTGATTTCGTCTTTCCTTCGGGGATTCTCTCGAAATCAGCCTCTACGGTTGCATGGAAGCAATACACCCCTGCGCTTCACTCATCGCCCCGTCATACGCATGCAAAGAGAACGAAGTCATGACTGCGTCCCACTCATTGGGTGATCGCACGTTAGTCTGCGAATTGACTGTAAAACTGAACCATCGTTGCGACTCCATCCCTTGACAAACCTTTCCCAACAATATTGGCGAAAAGTCCATATACCAGAACATTGGAGAGCCTCTGGCTTTGTGGGCTCTTCCAAAACCAATGGCTACTAGAGGAATGAGTCTTCGCGGTCTTCCGACTCTTCAAACCCAACTTTTGACCCGAACATGGGAACAAGTGTTAGGTGTTTTGCGATTTACATATGCTCACAAGCTTCCAAAATTCCTTGGCCACCTGCCTCCAGGACTTTGATATAAAGTCTCCGCAGTGCCAGCTGTGCTTCTCTCTCATACCCAGAATCGCACTTTGCGACAGCAAAAACCAATTTGGGAGAAATCCATGAGGAGAGTCGAACTTCTACGGAAATACTTCCCGCAAGCATTATGGTCGGCTCATCTTTTCGCATCTCCGAATTCGCGTAGCCATCAAGCTACGGAGCCGCTCCATCAGAGGGGACCTAGTGTTCAAAGGGCGCATCTTGAGCCTCAAGACCACGGCGTCAGCTCTGCGTCTTCCTCCCTGCAGTTGCTCGATGTATAAATAATTATTCTCTGCACTGTCTTCCATTCCCAAACACTTCTCGCTTCTTTCTCTACTTTCCAAAACTACGGATTTCATTTTCGATGGAGAAGTTTGTTTGTTTTTTCAAAATTGGTACACTACATGTTCATGTCTTCTTCTTTGCACTTTACTGTAAAAAACGACGAGCGAGCTCCGCATGAAGGAAGACATCCCACAAAGTCTTACGACGCTTTTCAAACTCATAGACACTAACAGCATGTGTGTTGGTCGCGGCGAAACGCGCAAGTCTTTGTCTTTGCGTGCCGTCGTCTTGAAATAGAAAGAATGATCTGTCATGGAGGGGACCTCTTGCCTGAAATGCAACATCCTACTCTTCATTCTCACAACGATATATGAAATCTTAATGGCAGCAGGCCTCTTCTGTCTCAACATGAACAATCATACAACATCATGTGTTTGCCTCTTCTCTGCGTTTTCGAAAGCTTGAGCAGTTCAGACCATGCAAACGCCGTCGCACGGAGGCAAAATGTTTGCGCGTACGAAACTACCATGGAAGAGGAACCATGAGATCGGAGTGTTCTTGGCTCTTCTATCAATATAAGTCAATCTTTCAAAGGCTGTGTCTCTCTTTCTAAGTACAATACCTGCCACTTTTTCCAAGATTTAACATGTCCTTCAGAACGGGTCACTGTGCCTGCGTCTCAAAACCACTATCCAAGATTCGATGTTTTCGCATCTCCTCCTTGTGTTCTCAAATGCATCCCAAAGCCGCACGTGACGGTGTATTTCTCCTGCGAGACTACTATCTCGACATTCGAAAATCTTTGGCATGAATCAACCATGTGTACGCCCTACCTGTGCGTCATCCAGCTACAAACCTTCGTCTGCGACTGCACATCTCTTCTTCTTTACATCCACACTTCCATTCTATTTTCCAAAACATCAAAATATCACATCGATGGCGACTGTGCCTCTTTTTCCAAAACTGAACTAAGACTGCGCATGGAGTCAGCATTGCGCCTCTTCTTTGAAAAACTATACATCGAAATCGAATGGAGAATGCGTCTCTTCTTTTCAAAAACACATCTCAACCCATTTATGAGTGTTTCTGCTCTGTCCAAGAACGGCGGTAGCCGTGGCGATGATCAGCTTTTCTCGTCCAGAAACACGATGAGCGCACGAAAACAACAACAGTTCCCGATATGAGGGCGAACGTCGCATGATTCGACTATGAGACCTTCGCCTACGGTCTGACTCCCCTTCCCTCAATACACTGCGCCTTCCTCTTTTTTTCTAAAACGTCCTAGAGTTCGCGCCATGGGGACTGATTCTTCTTTTCAAGATTGATGACGATAGCTCTGATGTTTTGGCCTTCTCGTCCAGCCACCGCGACGAGCTTTCCCTTGCCAAAAATCAAGGGTAACACTCCGATGGGGACGCCGCTTCCGCAGCTTCTACACCTAAAGCCCCTCTGAGGTTGCGGGACTACTCTTCCTATATCTTCCACCATCCTCCTGTTTTTCCAAAAGAACGAGTCCGGCAATACATGGAGACTTTGCCTCTCTTCCAAACCCCGATCGCAAGTGTCTCATGTGCCCTGGCTCTCTCCTCCAGCCCTGCCAACCATACCAAAACACCATTGAAAATTCGACACTCTACCAAAACAATATCGCTGATGTTTCATGTGTGAGCACCGCCGTCCTCGCTCTACTATAAGACCTCCCACCAATCTGCCTTCTTCCTCCTTCGTCCACTACCTTCCACCTCTTTCTCCCAAAAAAATAACAACTATGCGAGAACTATATATGGAGACGGCGGCTCCTTCCAAAAAGAGCTCAAACAAAACTACTTGTGTTTGGTCTTCGCCTCTCTGCCTCTCTTCTCAAAACAAAGTAGTGCGCCGAGTTTGACATGCGAGTGCCGATTTCCAGAAAATCGAAGTGCTGGGGGACATGAGTTCGGAAAAGATGACCGAACTCGCAAATGGCTGTCTGCTGGGTGTTTGTGCTGCGATATCGAAACGACGAACCGACTAATGGATGAACAACGGAACCGAGAAACGAGATGACAGGTGGGAAATGAACATCACTAGCACTACCAACATGGCCTTTCCCCTTCCTTCCTTTCTCTTGACTGCCAAAACAACGGGTGCTACCAAAAATGAAAAGCTGGTTCATGATGGTTCAAAAAAAAAAGAACGAGCTGAGCATGTCTGGACTTGCGTGCTGGCATTCTTCAAAAGTTCCTGTTAGGCACCTAGGTAGTGGTGAGCGCCTTTCACGACGACGGGGATGATGATCATCATCAGCACCAGATTCATGCATCCGATGACACGAAAGGTACCTCGCTGATCGTCGAAGTATATGTCATAGGGTATCCCGCACTACCACCTTACTACCGTCCCATCTTTATCAACAACCGCTCTGAACGTGAACTTACATCATACTCATAATCCTAAACGCCATATCGCTATGCAAGCCACCTTCACCTCCAACATCCGCATACCCCCAGTTTCACCCAAACACAACCCACCCAACCCTCATTAATCACAGCCTTCCCACCCCCGTCCTCGCCCCAAAATCCCCCCGATTAAACCTCTTCAAATCACCCCCCGCCCTCTTGAACCTCTTCATCTCCCATCGTTCCTTCTTCTCAAACTCTTCTGTTGCGTGTCTCTTGCGCACATCTGCCTTCCCCTTACCCCTAGTATCTGCTTTCACACCGGCGTCATGAATAACCATGGCGTCTTCCCAGCTGTACGAGAACTCTTTGAAGAGTGGGTGTGTTTGGTTATTAGGTTGTATAGCAGCGAAGGGGTTTTGTGTTGAGAATTTGAGGAGGTCGGGCGTTTCTGTTTCCATTTCCGCTGCTACCGTCCCACCGATTCCAGTAGCAGATTCAGGATGTGTATTCCGTTTCGACGTGACGGTAGTAAATGGGTCTGTGTCATCTCCATTCTCTTTCTCCTTCTCCTTCGATGTGGAAGCAGGCGACGTGCTATACGGCGTATGCGCACCAGGCACAGCAAAAATACGTTTCGGTGGTGAATCAATCTGCATGCCATCGTCCAAGCCCTTTATACCGAAGATATTATTCTGTCGTCGAGACGCCGGCACCGCGCTTCTTCTCGTCCTCCCACCTGGACCAGGTATCCAGTCGCCCTCAGTATCACTATCGCCATCTTGTGTCGCGCCTCTCCTCCTCCTATTCTCTTCGTCTTCGCTTTTCTGGCGTTGGAGTTTCGGTCCCGCTGGCGTGACTTTAACACGTTCCTTCTCTTTGCCTTTTGAGTGTGGTTTCGGGATGGGTTGATCCGTCTCTATTGTAGTCTTATCCTCGCCTCGCATCTGCGCCTCCCTCACGTCTTGCTCGATGTTGCTTGGTATCGCAGCATGAATCCCCGTCATAAGCCTCGCCCTCCTACAATACCCCTCCCAGTCCTCCGTCGCCAATTTGCCCGCGGCTTCATTCAGCGCACTCGCCGGATTGGGCTGAATCAACAAACAACTTATCGTCACAAGCACATCCCTCAACTTGAGCGTGCTACTCCAATCCCGCTTGAGCGTTTCCACACACACAGCACCCGTCGCCTCATCGATATTGGGGTGCCATAACCGCGTGCGGAACTGCGCTGTGGGCGGTGCGGTGGGGTATGTGGGTGGGATGTCGAGGTGGAGGCGCCATACGCCGCCGGAATAGGGTGTGCCGACGGGGCCGGCGAGCAGGATGTCGAGGGAGGTTAGGTCTGAAGTGCTGTCGGATTCGGGTGGGAAGAGGTAGTTTGGGGGGAGGCCGGCGGTGTGGAGGGAGCCGTGGTCTGCGGCGAGGCGGCGGAGGGACTTTGAGTTCTGGGTGTTTGGGTTAGTGGGTGGACGCGCGTGGGAACAAGGTGAGTGGTACCATGGCTGCGTGCGCTATTAGGATTGTCGTATTCTTAAGGTTATTAAAATGAGAACAAGGAGTCCATTGCGCTATGGTTGGAGGCGTGAGGATCTGAAGGGGCTGTTGATGGCTGCTGTCTTCCAGCGGCTGCAACGCACCTGGAGGTTCGCGCCGCCCCGCAAGTGGCCGCATCTGCACGCGTTCTAGCGCGTCATTCCATCTCACTCTCACCTGGGCACCTGATCATTTTCTTCATTAATCACAGGACAAAGATTGCCGAATCACGACTGCGGTCAACATAGTTGTCTTTGGTAAAGATCTGAATTCTCATAATAACGTCTAGCTACTTCATCAATCCAATTCGGATCCAGCCAGATGCTAATCTACATGGCACCGCATCTTCAATCCCGCAATGCCGTCAATGAACGCCGCGCTATAACACCAAGACCTACAAGATATCCATATCATCCACGGGATCCACAAAAGGAAACTGCCCACTCTCAATCGCCGCTATCCGGTCCAGCTCTGCCTGGTACTCTTTCCGCAGCGTGTCCAGGGTGATGATCTGCCTCTTAAGCAGCTTCTTGCCCTGGCCGATGCCCCACTGCGGCGGGCCCCCTGTCGCTTCTATGCGCTGCTCGGCCAGTATATAGGCGTCTTCTTTGCTGACGGATGAGAGTGTGTTGATGATCATGAGGTAGCACTGTGTTAGAGACTCGTCGGCTGGGTCATGGATCTTGGTTGATGTCGTCTTGAGGCGCTGTAGGCGCTCATGGAGAATCGATGCGGCACCGCGGAAGTTGTTGCGGGAGATGCGGAATGAGTAGAGGATCTGGTGGTAGGGCGGTCCAGATGCGATATTGAGTGTCTTCTGGCATAGAGACGTGAGGATGTTGTCAACGGAATCTGTCAGTCCGACAAAGGGAAACTTGAGGAGCTCGGTAGTTTGCGATTGGGCTACCATCGATGTGATGAGGGTCTGCAGGTCGGAGAGTTTCCTATAAGATGGTCAGTATACGAATTCGTGTGGATACAATTCTTCGACTTACAAGGCCGTGTCCCGATGCCTAATCAGCGCACCGTACGCATCGTGGAATCTGGATGTTTGAATCGAAGCAGTGAACAGCCGTTGGAGCAGGTCCGTCTTCAGTTCCACGTCTTCCTGACCCATCAAAGATCGCAACCCCAGTTTCGCAAAATCGGCAACGTAGGAGTATGCTTTTGCCTTCTCGAACAGACCAATGACATGATTGTAATAGTGCGCCAGGCCTTCGGAGAACGAATTTCGCTCCACTTCGGATATGAGGTTTGCTTTGTCTTCCTCCGCCACGTCGAACATGGGACTGAGGGCTACAGAGGTTAGTATCTCTTACGCAATTCGTATATCAAAGGCTTACCCAGATAGTATGCGGGCTTCTGGAAGTGCATAGAAGCCAGCTCCTTGTTGCCTAGAGCAAGGTACAACCGCCCCTTCAGATACGACGCCCAGTGACCTTCAGTAAGAAACTTGGAAAAGTCCTTGGCGAGCTCGTACTCTTGCTGATACAAGAGTATCCCCATCATATCTTCTACAGCGTTTTCAAAGTCGTGTTCTTCGAAGATGAATGACAACCAGCCGCGGCTCCAGTGAGTAAGCAAACCGGCCTTCGGGTCTTTCGGTAGTGGCACCTCAAAGGCACGACTGCCGTAGATTCCCTCAAGGACCGTTTGGGTGATGGGTAGCTTCATACCAGTCTTATATGTCTCGCTCAACATGCGATTGAGGTTGTCGGATGCTAGGCCTGTTCCAGTCTGGTGAGACCACACTGTACGGGCCAACCAAGAAACGACCATGCAGTCTTTGTATCGCAGCAAAAGCTCTGCGAACACCTCAGACGCATCCCACTCGTCATGTGTCTCCCCCTCCAGCTCAATGAACATGAAGAGCAGCAGGACGAGCAGATCCAACAAGGCATTGTGGTCGTTCTCCAGAGTCTCCTTGGAAACGCAGGATAACGCATTCAGCCCGTACCGTGCGATCTGCTTTCTCGACTGAGGCCTGCCGTCGTGTTCATAGTCCAACTTCCTGATGGCTCGGAGGAAAGTCTCGGTACCCAGGTCCTTGACTTCCATACCAAGCTCTTCAACAAGAGTGGTTACGTCCTCATCGGTCACATGTTGAGACAGCTCGCTGTTGCCTTCGATCCATTCCATGCGATCTAAGATGGTGATGTTCCGGCTCTGGAGTAGGTCCATTTCCATGTGGCGTTGAACCTTCTGCTGAACGAAGTATGGTAGTCGTTGGCGGAAGGAAGCTGCGGCATTCAGTAGACGTGCCACGTCGCGAGATTCCGATGTATCCAGAGTTTGCCGTAGAGGTTTGCTCAAGGTACGCGAACCTGAGATGACTGCTGCATTCAGTGTAGTTACTTCCGACTCGCTGCAGTTCCTGATCGCAGAGATGTGGTCGCTCAACACTAGCCACGGCCTGTCAGTAGCCCGATCGTAACTAAGCGACAACGATTCACCCCTCCGCTTGTGCAAGTCTTTTACCAAGCTGTAGTATGCCTGCCACTCCGCTGTTATGTCTTTGCTGAAGTCTTCGCCATGACCACGTTCAATGGCGAGGGCGACAAGCGTGGCAATCAGACGTTCCTTCAGTGACCCTTTGTGAACTCGACCTGACCGTTGCCGTATCCCCTCCAAGCCTCTCCTGTATATGCGCAATGCTGTTTCTAATGTTGCGATTGAGAATCGGCCCGGGTAGAACAGAAATTCGTACCACTCATTAGTGAGATCCTGTTCTGGTTCCAATTCCCGCTCGCTTGGATTCGCGGGATTGACCTTCAGTGCCTCGACGGTCAGAGGACCCGATTCAACAGATACCCAATCACTCTTCCAGGTTTGTGTTCGTTGTTCGGCGTAGTCGGTGAGATCGAATTTGAGAGAGTAGACCTTACTGCTCGGTCCTGACCTGGCGCGTATCCAGATCTCTGAACCTCTCCACGTATTAGGCCCTGGGATAATGTGGAACTCCTCCAGTGTCCATACGGTCGTGTTCATCAGTTCGTCGATCGGCGGAATGAGCTCTGAGTCCTGCGCAGCGTCGTAGAATCCGTGTTCCTGGTCGTCCGCATCCCTCACACCCCAGAACTTGAATTGATGCTGCTTTGGCGAGTATGTAACGACGTGGTACAATGCGCCTCCCACACCAGCTGGGATGTTGACAACAGCCATCAGCATCGACTGTGAAGGCCCAATGGAGTATGAACCATGAGACTTCTCCAGGGCGAGGTCTTCGGCACCCAAGAGGTCAATGTGCGCGCCTGGCTTGCCTGACGCAATGTTCCACGCTCTGATCGAGTGGTCCAGGCATACTGAGAGGATGTGTTTGTTGTCTGGGGATATGGCGACAGCAGCCGCGGCTGATACAGCAAAGTCTGCGTTCTCGAAGCGAACCGTGGGCTGCGCTTTCCATGAGAGAAGACCGCGCACCGACCAATTGCTCTGCTGGTACCGCGATCCGTCCCAGGTGTTGTTGGCCTTGTCCCAGATCAAGCGACAGATGGCCCCGTCGTCGAGTGTCACGAGTAGTTCGTCTGCGCTCACAGCGACCAGTCGGTAGGGTATGCGCCCGCTGAAGAGTGCCGGCTCGAACCTCTTGCACCAGGTCTCCGAGTCCTGCTCTGAGGCTGCGGGGTTGGCGAAGAAGTCGCGGTGCAGGGTGATGGTGTAGAGTTCGTTGCCCGTGGTGATTGCAAAGACGGTCAATGCATCGCGGTCGGCGGGCTCAGCGAAAGCGACGCAGAAGGGTCGGATTGGGGCGGGGAATTGGAAGAGGAGCGTCAGGTTGGCCTCGAACTTGTCGGTGTAGTCGTGATCGAAATCAGTCGCCTGGATCTCGAGCATCTTCCTGTTGTCCAGCACGCGCCAGAGGAAACTGCGCGGGTAGGCATGGTGCTGCCGAAAGTACATGGAGCCATCTGTAGCTAGATGACGCCTTGTGAAATCCTCCTCATCCTTGTCCGCAAACGATTCTGTGATCACACTGCGCTTTACACTGGATCGTGAGCTGAAGGGAGAATGCGACGGGATCGAAAATGCGATGGTCGAGCCAGGGTAGGCGGGCTCAATGTTCAACCGCGCCTCTTTGTAGAGACACGTGCCTCCGTGTTGGACCATGTTACTCGCATGCGAAGGGAGTTCGGCCGTCGTTGCGGGGGTGAGAGGTTATGGCGCGCGTTCGGGGTCGAGTTGCGGCGGTCGGCGCGGAGGTGAAGCTACAAAAACAGTCGGCGCGCGACGATAGATGCGCGAAGCTGGCTGGCTGGTGCACGGACGCTCACTGCTGGCTACCTCAAAGCAGCCCACCTAGTCTACTCCACCCACAATATGGCCATTATATCACGAAATAGCCAAGATGATGCTGATGGTAATGATGCATCGTTCAGATAGTATATTAGGATATCATACGGCTGCATAAACGTAACTCGTGTAAACCCAAAAAGATCTAGATCGCCACGGCTCTCTGACGCCTTGCACTTCATCACCCTCATCACCTGTTGTTCCTCTCCTCCAGGTCCTTCTCCTTGGGGTCGCCAATGCCATCTTCATTGATCGCGAACAAGCAATCGCTCTCTGGTAGACACGGACTGTCGTAGATCTTGCACACACGCGTCTCTCCCCTACCCTTTCTCAAGCTGAGACGAGTCGTACTTGCGTGTGCAATGATGTTTCCTCCGATAGGCTTCTTGGGGTCTGGGTTGAACATGGCACTCGGTCCACCGTCCACTTGCGCGACGACTTGGTTCGTAATTACAACGGCGATACCAAACTCGTCCGCAAGCCGTTGTAGCGTGCGCATGAACTTGGCCAGATGCGTTTGCCTGGCAGACAGCTCTCCACGTCCAGCAAAATCTGTACGATACAGTGCAGTGGCGGAATCGACAACGAGCAGCGAGAATCGAGTCTCCGTCATCATCTGTGCGGCCTGGTTGAGAAGCTCCAGCTGATGATCTGAGTTGTATGCGCGCGCATAAGCAACATTGTCCAGGACCTCCTCGCCAGAGAGTCCGAATCGGTTTGCGACAGCCAGACATCGTACTGGGCGGAAGGTGCCCTCCGTGTCGATGTATAGACATTTGCCCTCACCACCTCCCATGTCGAACGGCAGCTGGCAGGTAACGGCTAGGGTATGACAGATCTGACTCTTTCCCGTTCGGAACTCGCCAAATATTTCCGTTATAGAGCCTGTCTCGATGCCGCCTGCCAGAAGTGTGTCCAGTTGTTTTGAGCCGGTCGTGATGGAGATCAATTCGCTGCGGCGGGAGTGCATCTCGGTAGCCGTGGTGAAGCCCATAGGGACAAGTTTGGATGCTATGGGAGTAAGCAACAGGTGAGGGAGCAGTGCCATTGATACGCACCCTCTGCAAGCAACTTTGAAGCCTTTTGTTCCGAGATGCCCTTTATTTGTTCGAGCGCTCGCCGTGGTCTGTACGGTGTTAGTGGCGGGGCCCATTCCTGTTCGATGATCTACATACGTATAGGCAATCGACTCTACAGTGTTGAAACCGCCCTCTACAATCAGCTTAATGTCGCGTGCAGTCAATCCATTGACTCCCTGAAGTCTCGTCAGTGTCTGTCGCGCGCCCAAAGACCAAGAACGCCTACCTCAAGCGCAGACACGGGAGTCGGTGCTCCAGGGCCACCCATGGTGCTGTCCTCGAATTGCTCTTCTTCGGCACTCATCTTGACGGAATTAGGACGGTCAAAGGTATGAAAGGTAGTTGTACGGGATTTGCGAGTGTGCTGTGCAGGAAAGAAGGATGAGTGGCGAGCTGGCATCTAGATCAGGCGCGTCTCACTAGTGCCAAACGCGTCCTCACATGACAAGCCCGAATCGCCACACAGCAGGCTCCAACGTCCATCCCCGACTTTACTCCGCAACACTCACACTTCATGCACTAGACATGTCAAGATTGTATGTTGCCATGTGGATTTGTTCAATTGTTTCAATATTCGTGGTATCATTGTACGTAAAGACATCGGTCGACTCAAGAGACCTACTCGTCATCGCCAAAGAAGACCTTGACCGGCAGCCAGGAGTCGCCGCAGACCTTGAAGCGCTCAGGCAGCGCGTTGATCTCCTTCATCTCCTCGTCGGTCAGCTCCCAGCCATCAAGCTGGAAGTTACCCATGATGCGGGATGCTGTGACGGACTTGGGGATGACGCTGGAGCCGCGCTGGAGACCCCACATGAGCAGGACCTGTTGAACGGACTTGCCCTTGTTGTCGGCGAGCTTCTTTAGCTTCTCGTTCTTGTAAAGGGGAGAGTCGGTTGAGCCGAGGCAGGAGTAGGCGGTGGCGTGGATGCCCTTCTCCTTAAGGTAGTCGAGGAGCTTCGGTCTGGCGTCACTGTTAATTCACATACACTTGGGTAAGCTTTTGGCGATTGACTTACGAAGGGTTGTTGGGGTGGAGCTCGATCTGGTTGACAGCAGGTGTGATCTTGGTACGGGAGTCGGCGAACAGCTTCTCGAGGTTCTGGATGGCGAAGTTGGAGACACCAATGTTCTTCACGCGGCCAGACTCGGGGAGCTTCTGCATCTCAGCCCAGGTGTCCTTGAAGTCCCAGTCGGGGTAGTGCTTCTTGAGGTCATCGGGGTCGGTCGATGAGGGCCAGTGCTGGGAGGTTTGTAAGTACTTCGTCTTGTAAGAGATTGAGCCTCCACAAACATACCATGAGGTAAAGGTCAACGTAGTCAAGACCAAGGTCCTTCAGAGAGGTGTTGATGCCCTCTTCGACGCGCTTGTGCCATGGGTTGTCAAGCTTGGTAGTAACCCAGATCTGCTCACGGGGTACACCAGAGTCCTTGATACCCTGGCCGACCTCCTTCTCGTTGCCATAGGCAAGCGCGGTGTCGATGTGGCGGTATCCTCCCTCGAGAGCGGCCTTGACGGCCTCACGAACCTCACCAGGCTTTGATTGCCATGTGCCGAGACCGACAGCGGGGATCTTTGCGCCAGTGTTGAGCGTGAAGTGCTCCTTAGTCCAGTTCTTGGGTGCCATTCTTGCTAGAGTACGAATCATAAATTGAAAGGTGAAGTTTGGGATGTAGGAGAATGGAAAGATGGCAGGGAGCGCAAACTTTTGAAGGGTGAGCTGAGCGAGGGGCACAGCCGACGCGTTGTGTACCCCTCCTACGTCAGGGCCAACATTCACCCATTGCATCGCTATCTCCACCGAGCAACTTTAAGCACCGGCATAAAACCTCCACGTATCAGGACGCGATTTGCCCGCGGGTGAGGTTAAACTGGTGGGGTGTGGAGAACTATCCACCTGCCGCTAGTGCCCATGAGGAAGCCGGAACAGTTACTACTTTTTTTGCCGTTCTCCCGCTCAACTCCTGCATCCACTGCACCGCCCTCAGCATCCTGCGCTAGCCGTATAAGTGTGGACCGCCATGTCTTCAGGATTCGTCAGTGGCGGCAAAGCGGGTGAAGAAATCGAGCGCGATGACGAATGGAAAAAGGCCCAGCAAGAGATTGAGGATGCTCGACGCGCGAAAGCCGAATTGGCAAAACAACAGGATGGAAAGAGTCTCTTCGAAGTTTTACAAGCCAACAAAGACAAGAAACAAGCCGAGTTTGAGGAAAAGGCACGTTACAAACTTCATGTCGCTCTAGATGATGAGGAAGCCGACTATTTGGATTCCGTCTTGGAGAAGAAGCGCCAGGAGGAAGCAAACGTAAAAAAGGAGACCTTCGAACAACTAGATCTATTCCGCAGGCAAAGGGAAGAAGCCGAGAGGAAAGCAAAAGGTCTTGAAGAAGAGACTTCAGAGGCGCCCAAAGACGAAGATGCTCCGCAATGGGCGGCAGTAGGACGGAAGAGGAAGAAGGGTTCTGAAGCCGGGCTATTGAAGGGTGTGAAGCTGAGGAAGTCGAGCTCCGTACCAGAGGACAAGAAACCTGTGGACGAAGAGAAGGCGACCTCACAGTCTGGCACGAGCGCCAAGACGAACATGCCATCTACCGCAACCAATGCAAATGGTTCAAAGAGCCCTGCGACGGCATCTGCAGACCCGACGAAGCCGTCAGCAGCGCAATCGACATCGAAGCCCGTAAACACACTTTCGCTCGGCCTGGGCTATGCATCGTCGGACGACGAAGATTGAGTCGCTCTCAGATTCCAACGGCAACTTCTCAAGGAAAGCGCATACAGCTTAAACGAGCGCAATCGTCGGTATGACATTTGCAATGCCGGCCCGATATGATGGTAGTCGCGCTTGCGCAGGTACATGTACATGCGATCTGGGAAGCTTCTTTTGACCCACACCAACATAGCGAACAAGCTACTTGGTGCCAATGTGTGCCGACAGTCAACATACTTGGGATATCTAACTGCATAAACTGATCAAGACGACTCCTCTGCGCGTAGAGGAAACCGTTTGCAGGACGCGAATTGACAATGATGTCATTGGCTGGCCGGCTCGGCGACGCTTACCTGTTTGTAGCGCCGTACTACGACCGCATCTCCCATCAGAAGTAATTATCAAATATACCATTGACTCCAAGTCAACACTGATGCTCTCACTCTTTCCATCTGCACTGCTCCAAGAATGATCTCGTGATACGCTAACAACAACATCCCGACAACCCTTCTTTCCTACAGCAACAGCGCGTCCCGAACGCGCAACGTTGCAACATGGCACATCAACCCAACGACAACGAGACCTCTCCTCTCATCGTCGTCACCAGGCCCACTGGCCACTCAGAGGAAACCGAGCACGCTAATGACAATACAATGGACACGCGGCTCATTCTCAAAATCGCAGCAGCCATGTACTCCTTCGTCACACTCGGCCTCTTCAACTCCTCCATCGGCGCCGTCCTCCCGCTACTCTCACGCCACTACAACCTCACAGACCTCCAAGTCTCCTCCATCTTCCTCGTTAGTCCCATCGGTTACGTCATCGCAGCACAATGTAGCGATACCGTCCACTACCGCTTTGGCCAACGGGGAATAGCAATAGCTGGTCCGCTGCTGCAGATCTTGGCTACGGCGACTGCGGCGACGCACCCGAGTTTCGGCCTTCTTTTGCTTGCATTTACGTTACAGGGACTGGGAACGGGTCTTTTAGATGGGAGTTGGTGTGCGTGGGCTGGTAGTATGGAGAAGGCGAATACGGTTTCTGGCCTGCTGCATGGAAGTTATTCTGTGGGTGGGGCGTTGGGGCCGTTTGTTGTTACGGTCTTGACTACGAGGCATTTTATGTGGTGGACTTGGTATTCTATTTTGGTAAGTTGACGAATGCTACCTGCCGGGGATTCGTGCTGATAGCTGTAGGCTGGAGCATGCGCTCTCTCTTTCCTGGTCTTGGTCTTTGCTTTCCGTAATGAGACTGCATCGGTCTACCGCGAAAGCAAACAGTCAAGGACTCATGACCCCAAAGTCGACGTCAAGGCTGTGTTCAAATACCGAGCGACTTGGTTCTGTGCAGCATACTTCCTCACCTACGTTGGCATTGAGACAGCGATTTCAGGTTGGATCGTTTCCTTCATGCTGCGCAATCGCCACACAACCGCTTACGTGGCTGGTCTCTCTTCCTCGGGGTACTGGATTGGCATGGCAGTTGGACGACTGACTTTGGGTTTCGCGACGGATAAGATGGGGGTGCGGCGCGCGACTGGTCTATACTACCTCATCGCCATCGCTATCGATATACTCTTCGCTGCTCTATCGTCTGCGGCTGCTTCCGTGGCCTTGATGACGATGCTGGGGTTTATCATGGGTCCGATGTTTCCGTCTGGTGTGGTTGTACTCACGCGGCTGTTACCAGCGGAGCTACATGTTGCAGCTGTGTCTTTTGTGGCTTCTCTTGGGCAGGCCGGAGCTGCCTTTTCGCCGTTTGCTATTGGTGCTGTTATTGATGGCTTGGGTATTGGTGTTTTCCGATTTGCGATACTCGCTGAGACTGTGGTGGCTTTGCTGGTTTGGTTTGCGTTTGCGAGATTGCGTCCGGGTCTGCAACATGTATCTACTACGCGACATGAGGATTGATACAGGTTGATTAGGAGATCTCGTATGAATACAAAGCCGCTATGTTCTCCAACAATCTCTTGCGAAGTTTTCATTGAAGATAGAGAACTTTGGCCACACATGTTTGAGTTTCATTGGTGTTAGTATCATCGTGCAGTGGCACTCGTGGGCAAAAAAAAAAAAAATCCTCTACGGTGCGAGAGCAAGTAACATCGGTGTACTTCGTAAAGAATTCAGTCCTGGGTGTAAGCCCGAGTCGTGGCCTACCGAGCCCAGGGTCCCAGGCGATGGGCCGGGTCAGTGCCGCGAGATGGAGTGGAAGGCGCGGAGGATGAGGTGCGTTTTTGGCACTAGTGCCTAGGCTAGCCCGCGCCGTACAGCGCGTATTCTCCATCCTTGCGTCCCTTGCCTGTTCATCCTGCCATCGCATTCGGCCCATGGTTTCTCGCACGCCTTTGCTGGACTACGCTTGCTTGTGGAATCCAAGCTTTGTATGCCCCGACGTGCGAACTACTGAAAAAGATCCACCCATGGACCTAGTACATACGAGTGGCACGACTGCTTCGCTTGCAATCCACTACGCAATGCCCATGCTGAACATGCAGACGGTCTTTCCTTCTTCCTGAACGGGTAACAGCCCCGGTACCTGAGAGATCTAGGTGCGTTGGATCAGCATGCATCCAAATGTATTCCAGCCGCGCAGACGGATGGTTATATCCGTCCGAGATTCTTCATAACCCACAACGTTCGCCCGTTGGTGCCCGTCGGCTTCAACCTTTGCCAGCCTCCCGTCAAATTCAGTATGGTATTCTTAGCAGGTGTTGCAGCTTTGCTGTTTGCGGCGCCGTCTATCGCAACGGCTGCGGCAACGAGCCTCTCTGGTGGAGAAAAGGTCGCTTGCTCCAAGTTGAAGTCCAAATACCCCGACAGTACCTTCTCGCCTGGGACTTCGGGCTACTCATATGAGACACAAGAGCGTACGATAATACTTTTGAAATCGGGACCGATAATTCACTAACAATTCACAGCATATTGGTCAGCTACGGTGTACAGCAGCCCTGCATGCGTTTTCGTTCCTCAAGATGCCCAGCAAGTGGCTTATGCAGTTACCGCAATGACCTTGACACGTTCCAAATTTGCTATGCGAGGTGGAGGACATATGCCGATACCTGGCTACAACGGGATTGATGGCTCTGGTGTACTGATATCCTCTTCCAATTTGACGACCTTGTCACTTTCCTCGGACAAGTCTGTCGTCTCTGTCGGGCCCGGAAACAGGTGGAGAGACGTCTACGCCTATCTGAAACCGTCTGGGCTCGCAGCTGTCGGTGGTCGTGTGGGCCACGTTGGTGTTCCCGGCTTGTTGCTCGGTGGTGGCATCTCCTTCTACTCTTCGGAGTACGGGTTCGCTTCCGATAATGTTATGAAGTATCAGGTATGTCGCCAATATTCCGTGCAACGCTATTGCTGTACTAACAACGATAGTGTGTGCTTTCCAGCGGCCAAATCGTCGAAGCGACAGCGACGAATAAGTATTCAGATCTCTTCTGGGCGTTGAGGGGCGGCGGGAACTCGTTCTGCATCGTCACACGATTTGACTTGCGACCAGTGGAGGGCAGCGACGTGCACGTCGGCATTGGTCAGTTCGACCAGACTCAAGCATCGGGGTACTTGGACGGCGTCTACAACTTCGGCAAATACGGAGGTTCTGACCCAAAAGCCGCTATCATTCCGACTATTCTTACCTTCCCTGCGGCGAACATGACAGTCTATGCAGCTGCCAAGTTTTACCACTCCGTCACTGACAACCCCAAAGTATTCGAAAACTTCACTGCGCCAAAGCTTACCCCAGTCGCGGACTCATACGCATTGCAACCATTATCAGACTACATTTCAGCTACAGATGCCCTGCAGCCATTAGGATTGCGCCAGGAGTTCCGCACCCTTTCGTCCGTTGTTGACCGAAAGGCCGTGCAGCTCATTCACGACACCTTCGTCTCCGGCGTCAACGCCAAGTTGCCCAGCGTTGCCAACCTCCAGGCTTCGATCACCTTCCAGCCCATCACTAAGGCATTCTTATCGCACAGCGCGAAGACTGGAGGCAACCCCCAAGGCGTTGATGTTTCGAAAGCACCTTTCTTTTGGATGGTGGAGAATTTTACTTGGTCTTCAGCGAGCGATGACGCGAAAGTGCGTGCTGCTGCTGATGAGATCACTGCAAGCATCAACAGCTTGCTGCGCGCCGGATCGTATAGCGCTGACTATCTCTACATGAACGATGCCGGGAAGGGCCAGCCCATTTTCCAAAGCTACCCCGCTGCCAACTTGAGGAGGCTGAAGACTATTCGCAATAAGTACGATCCTCTCAAGGTGTACACTAATCTCATGCCTGGTGGTTGGAAGGTCGGCGATGCATGATGAAGCAACCCAACGATCCGGTCCAACAACTGTGTACAAAACTCTATCAATACACCCTATGCAGTCTCTACGAATATGCAATGTCTCTCCCAGCGTCTTCATTAATATGCTTCACGATAAGCTCAATTAGGAAGGAAGGCGCAAAGCACCCGAGCCGTGTCCACCCGCGAGATCGGATCAGCCGCTGCGGAGCCTAGGAAAACAGCCTCAAAAAGGGCCGAGACCAAGTTACGGTACCGGAGGAGCTACTTCAGTAGGATGCTCTTAATGCGAGCAACCCAAAATCTCATGCAGGGTCAGCTTGGAAGAATTGCACCGTAATTTTGCCGCCACCTGCTGTACTTCGCCGTCTAACCCGTATCAACTTGGTCGTACTTGGCTCACCATCGAGTGCGCTCCATGTACGGACGGAGTTCTCGACGACTACCATGTAGGAGGCGGCGTATCTGCGGCATCGACCGTCTCATAGATCATGCCTCGCGATGCAAGCCAGGATGAGGCCGAATGCGAATGCGAGTCTCGGTGTTGAGATGTGGACAAAGGCGAGATGTACAACAATGTTAAGACTAGATAGATATCTCGCAGTACACCACTCGGGTCGCAGTATATTCTTCTTACTGTGGAGATACTGAGTCGAGACCAAGATGGCGCCCAGCTACACAGATCTAATGGTGAGTCAGACAGCAGCACACAGAGCAACTCTAACCCCTAGACAGACTTTGATATGGACTCTTTGGGGTGTATCATTCCTCTGCACAACCCTTAGAGGCATTCTACGATGGAAGTCTCAACGCCGACTTTTCGCAGACGACTACTTCGTCTTCTTTGGCTTATTCTCCTTGACCGCCCTCTCCATGGTCATCACATGTCTGCTACCACAGTTCTTTCTTGCGCAGGAATACTCAAAAGCGGCTATGCTAGATCCACTAACGCCGTTGCCACTGCCGCTGGATGAGTTCATCGAGAGAACGCGTACTTCACTCAAGTTCATGTTCAGCCAGATGCTGTTATTTTGGACTACTCTGTGGGCTGGTGAGTTGACTTGCTCAACTGATGAGCGGGATTTCTTACTGATGTGTTGCTCTAGCCAAATTCTCCATTCTTTTCTTCTTCAGACGTCTGGTTATTGGACTGCCAGTATACATGCGTGCATGGTGGGCCACCTTTGTACTTGTCCTACTTCTATATCTCGCATGCATCGCCTCCAACTTCCTGACATGTCGACCACTAACCAAGTACTGGAGCTCAAGTTAGTTTTCCACCCCAATATTCTCCTTATACCTTCTAACCTCTATAGCCGGCTGTAGCGACCCCGAAGACCTCATCCGAGCCGACGGATCCATCAAGTTCGCAACAAGCGCAGACGTCGTCGCCGACGCGCTCATCATGCTCCTCCCTCTGAACCTCCTACGCAAACTACAAGTCTCCCCCCAACAAAAGTTCGGCCTAGCCGTCATCTTCTCTCTCGGCACAATCATCATCGCCTTCGCCTTCGCGCGCCTCGCACAAGTCACAAAAGCCACTTCGAACCCCGATCCAACTACGCTTGCCGACGGGCCCGTGCTGCTCAGCATGTGGAGTCACATCGAGTCGTCCGTTTCCGTGATAGTTGCTACACTGCCGGCATTCAGGTACTTGCTCAATGGCAAGATGGGACGGACACGACCGGGACCTTCCAAGCCACCGGTATATGGGTCTGCGGAGCCGGGTACGTCGGGGGCACGGAGTAAAGCGAGGAGGGGGTATAGTGGGCATAGGTGGAGTCGGAATACTGCTACGAGGTTGCCGAGTAGTGAGCAGGATCGGAAGGGGAGCTGTGATTGGGGTAGTGAGACGGAGTTGAGGCCGATGGCTGGGGGTGGGGGACAAGTTGATGTTATCGTCGAGAGGGATTTGAGGAGACCGGAGCAACAGCATGCATAGTATTTAGTGTTGTTACAACGGCTTGGGTTGTGTGTAATGAAGATGGTATTGGTACTTCATTATGCCTGCGTTTCGAACTGCGTTTATGACTACATCGACTCATCGGTCTCGTGTCTCTGTACGTTGGTGTCAGATTTCCCCTTGAGGCTGAGTCATTTGGAGCACTTCCTATACAGTCAACGGAATTGCTCACATACTCGTGGCTATCGTAATTGTTGCCGACTGTATTTGCTTCCTGAACGTGTGGCCTTTATTTCTGGTAGTCTTAATAGAAACCTGTTCTTGTATCATTGTGTAGATCGAATCTAAAAAAACAAAGCAGGCGGACAAGAGTATCATTCGCACAGCTGTCATGTTTGGTCAAAAGTGAGGATAGCCGGTAGCGTAGTAAGAACCTAGCTATCAGCATCCGGCATCCAAAGACGCATGGGCCGCGGACCGTTATGCATCCTTTTCTGGTAACAAAGAGCGGGGTTGGTTGTAGATCCCCGCTCACCGGAAGTTCGATCGCACACGTGTACAAACGGGCACTAAGTAACCGAGAAAGATTAGACTGAGATAGGAGGAAGATCTTTCCGACCGTTTTCGTGGGACGCAGGGAAGAAGATCAGCAATGGTAGCACGATAGCTCATCATAGGGCTCGATAATGTGCATGTGTTATGATAAGAATCAGAATCTTTCATTTCCGCGAACCATTGTATGCTGTCCCGTCTCGCGAGGGTATAGTGATATAGACAGAACGCCGTAACTGAAGGAAACTAAGGAGTCACAGCCCACGCATAGCGTTCCTGCGCACTTAACTCGCCCAACACCGAGCCTGAACGGCTAAGCCAAGAGATAGGAAAGACGTAACGAAATGTGAGATCAGAGCCTGCTGATGCTACGGGCATTATGCTATTGAGCCAAGACCTTGTCTACAGCAGCACCAGCCAGTAGTTGAACGTCTTGTATGCTGCCCTTGACGTCGATGATCTCCACATCCTTCAGTTGCTTGCACTCCGTCTCATCAGGCTCTTCCAGAGCAGCGAACTGGCTCTCGACCATGGCGTCCTTCATGTAGTGGCCTTGTCTGGCGCGGACGCGGGCTAGGAGGGTCTCCATGTCAGAGCGGAGGTAGACGAAGTGTACGTTGGCGTTCGGGTCTTCGTCATAGAGGCGGGCTGTGCGGATGACATCGCGGTACTTCTTCTTGAGAGCACTGCAAGTAACAACGACGCCCTTGGCTCCGTTCTTCAGTGCGGTGATGGCTTGATCTCGTAGAAGGATGAGCCAGTCCCATCGGTCTTCGTCGTTGAGAGGGATGCCGGCGGCCATCTTGTCGATGTTTGCTTTTGGGTGGAACTGCGAAGACGTCAGCAGGCATTAGATGAATCACAAGGGAGTGGCTAACCTCGTCGCCCTCGATGTAGTCAAATCCATATCGGTCCGAGAGATGCTTTGCAACAGTGCTCTTGCCGCATCCTGCTGGACCAGTGACGATGAGGATGTGGTGATGGGTAGAAATGATCATCTTGCTGGTCTCGGTCTCGTTCAGGACAGCGATAGACTTGGATGGCGAGCCTGTATTGGAAATTGGTGGTGTAGGTGGTGATGCATATTGTATGGGCTTTGGCTGCGATAGATCGACGGTTTGCATCATGGTGGCACAGAGTTTGAGGGTTGAGTCAAACAGTTGTGGAAATGGGTGGTTGTAGTACGTGAGGCTCTTGTATGACGCTAATGCTTGTGTTGGGCTCCCGAGTACAAAGGGACGGGTGTCGGGTAGGGTTAATATAGGATATTGCGATACGGTCGGGACCAAATATAAGTGTATGCAGACTGTAAGCAATCAACGGCGCCCCGATTCGCGCTGGGGCGTGGTGCGTTTTAAGGCGTGGGACCTTGGAAATACTGGTCTGGAAATTTCTCCCGCAAGCCATGACGGCAACGGCAAGGGTGGAATGCGATGGAGCTTGTCGTTATTCTGGGAGCCAAGCCACGATGGCACGCTCCGAAAAGCAAATAGCGAATAGTAAGCGTGGGCGTGTAGCTAGCTTCAGTAACAGGCCCAGCCGGCTGTAACAGCCGCGAAGCCGGGGCTGGAGAGAAAGAACTTCGGCGTTTGAAAGTGGACCTGTCGCGTGTGGGATGACGAGTAGCGCACCAGTCTCCCCGCATGAAGACCCCAGTCCTTCTCAGGTACTTATGCATCCCGCATGCCGGTGACCACGACATGCCAGCGCAGACTTGAGTTCTGAACGTCAGGCAACTGCATGGCGCTCTGCCGAGTAGACTGCGATTCGACTGTGTCTCTGCCTGGAAGAAACAGACTTCAGCTCACCGCTTTGACTCGCGGTAGGAAGCTGTTTGATAATGGCGCGTGGGGGTTAGGCGAGGAATCTGAAAGTGCATCGGGCCGGTGAGGATCGAGGCTGCGAACAGTCTTTGAGTCGCGATTAGTTTTTGGGGCGGCTTCCGGCAGATGCCCCGGGCACTCCAGACGGGTGAGAACGTTTGAGCCAGACGTGCAGGCAAACCCGATCAGTCACGGCGCCGCAATATTGCAGCTGCTCGTGTGCAGCTCACCGCCCAACGAGTGCATATTTGCTGTTTCGTGTGCAGGTGCCTATCTCCGCAGGCTCGGGAGGGGTATGTGGAGGACCATCTGACCCGACGAGAGCAGCAGTCAGACGTGACGTGGACCCATTGAAGACAGAAACAAGGATACCTGGGAGTGAATATGACGAGGCGGTGTTGGTGAGGGATCGGGGAAGGCGGGGCAGCGAGGCGCTCACGTGACGGGCTCAACGGGGACAAGCGCGTCATCAGCTCCTCCCACACGGATCCGGGGCGCAGCTCTCCACCACGGCCATCCAGTCGAGCTCCGCCGACAACCGACGCGACGAGTGCCTCTGATACCGCTTCCGAACACGCGCCAATCCACCGGCACTGCTCTGGCCCGGCATGTCGTACTTCTTCTCCACCCCGGTCGACATCGACATCGTGCTCGAGGACCTCGACGACCGTTCCGCCGTTGACGTCAAGCTCGACAAGAACCGCAAGGAGAAGGTGCCGCTGTATCTCGATGGCGAATCGGTCAAGGGCCAGGTCACCGTAAGGCCCAAGGATGGCAAGCGCCTGGAGCACACGGGCATCAAGGTGCAATTCATTGGAACCATTGGTAGGCAGCTCCAATCTAGTAACACCCAGCGCAGTGCTGACATAATGCGCCAGAAATGTTCTTCGACCGCGGAAACCATTACGAGTTCCTCTCCCTTGGCCAAGAGCTGGCAGCCCCCGGCGAGCTCCAGCACCCGCAGACGTTCGACTTCAACTTCAAAAACGTCGAGAAGCAATACGAATCGTACAATGGCATCAACGTCAAGCTGCGCTACTTTGTACGCGTCACCGTATCGCGGAGGATGGCAGATGTAGTCAGAGAGAAGGACCTCTGGGTCTACTCCTACCGGATACCGCCCGAGACCAACAGCTCCATTAAGATGGACGTCGGTATCGAAGACTGCCTACACATTGAGTTCGAGTATTCGAAATCGAAATACCACTTGAAGGACGTTATTGTGGGCAGGATATACTTCCTGCTGGTACGGTTAAAGATCAAGCACATGGAGTTGTCTATCATAAGAAGAGAGACAACAGGGGCTGCTCCCAACCAGTACAACGAGAGCGAGACGCTAGTACGCTTCGAGATCATGGATGGCTCACCGTCGCGAGGTATGCACACATACTCTTTTGCGAAAGGCATGACTGACAGACGTTTAGGTGAAACAATTCCCATCAGATTGTTCCTCGGCGGCTTCGACCTGACACCAACCTTCCGTGAAGTCAACAAGAAGTACTCCACACGATACTACTTGAGTCTAGTCCTCATCGATGAAGGTATGATAGACGCACACCTTTACACTGCTGTGACTGACCAGTATTCAGACGCACGTCGATACTTTAAGCAATCTGAGATCGTGTTATTCCGACAAGCACCGGAAGGCCTGACGTTGGCTCAGGAGCAGAATAAGCTGATGGCAGTGTCGTGAGGACGTAGATGGAAGTCACTGCGAAGATACTTGCAACTTGTTGAGCGTGGGGTGTGGGATTTGCCCAAGGCTTCCCATCGACCCACCATGCGAATGTTTGGACCTCGGGATTGGGCTTAACATTGTACTATCACACCGCGGCGGCGGGAGCTTACGCAGTCACTGGGGCGTTCTTCAGTGCATGGATATTGCATGTGTAAATACAGCAACGCAGCATTCCAGGAACGGCAATGTCGCAGGGAAATCATCGGGCAAACGTAGAAATCTTGGCCGAGTCTCCACATTACGATGCAATAGTGCGTGACACCTGCATGATCGTGGTGCACCATCGGCTCTGCTCCCGAACCCTCTACTACAGAAGTGTGGCTTGTGTGGTTCTCTAGATAGGCCGTGAGAGTCGGCATCGCCACTGCCGGTGTTGCGGCTTCTTGATCGTTGTTATGCTTATTGGTTCCTATCGGTTTTGTAGTGCTCGGATGATCTGCACCTAAACATCCCTTTCGCGGTTCCTGCATCAATTCCTCTTACACCAACTTGGGGAAGTGTTGATGACTCTTTCGCTCACAAGACATCCGCATGTCACTTTGTCGCTCCGATTATGTCGACAACAAAGGCTTCAGTCCGCGGAGCGCGCATCCGACCCACAGTAAAGATGCCGATGTTCAGCAATCTCACGATCCGCACGACGCCACACTTCGCCGTAACCCTGGGGATCGAGATGAAACCCTTCTTATCAGGACATGCCCACAAAAAGCTGAGTTCCCAAAACGGCACGCATCCACTCAACATGAAAATCCGTTCAAATGATTGGGATGTGTGGTTCCGCGTCACCAGGAGTCTCCCCGAAATAATGGGGACGTGGGCGTACTAGGCAAAAGCTTCCCTGCAAATGACGTTTTGCATGGAATTCTTCACTTTCCCATGGCTTAATCGCGGGACTACTTTTTCACCATGTTGTACACTTGGCACCTCCCACGCCCCTGTCTTACTCCCACGTCCAGTACATATCAGATATAAGGTTGTCAGGGTCTGCTTACCTTGAGACGTAGGAAGAACGGACATACAACATGTCGCAACAACAGCCAAACAAAGCTGGCAACAGTAAGTCACCGAACAACCTGAATTTCTCTTTCGAAAAACCGGGGAAACCCAGAAGAGTTCTTGTCTCATTGGCACCAGGATATCACATATACTAACCTTCTACAGGGCAGCCGTCGGATTATTTCACATCCCAAAGACCTGCAGCAACGCCTGAGCCAAGACAGCAAATCACGGCAACACGAATGCCATCGGGTTTGGCACAAAGTCGTTCCAATGCACCAAGTATAGGGAGACTTGACACTACCCGTTTGGAGTCACGACCCGAAAATGAGCGCAGCAACACTACTGCAACGGGTATGACCCATATGGGCACCATCAGAAACACGCCCACTGCTCGAAGAAGCCGGGCAACTCGTGAGAACGTCAGACAAGAGCCGCCACGAAGACCTGAGAAGAAGCAACAGCAGGTCGTTGACGTCGACAATGACTACTTCTCATTAAATCCATGGTACAATGAACAAAAGTCAAAGCCAGTCTTCGGTTTGGGCGCGCCTTTGCCACGCACCGTACGTAAGGGTATGTGGTGGGGACGAGGCGACTTGCGCAAGTCTTTGTATCAGGTCGATGAAGGAGATGCAGATGGCATCGCTCGACAAGATGGCTTAGGCTTCCAAAATAGCAAAGGTAAGTCTTCACGTACGCCCTTGATGGGACTTCCCCCAAGAACAACCATGCTAATTAGAACGTGGACAGTTTTGGAGGAAGATTCAGAAGACTCTGAGGAAACGCTAGACGGCGTTGGTCGTCCACATCAGCGACGCGACCCCTCGCAATTCCAGACCACAGTCGACGGCCGTAACGTCAATATGAAACGCGTGCCAACAAGTGAAGCTGATCAGGTGCTTGGCCGCAACCAAGACCCGAGTGCCCGCAGCCATGAACATCATGAAGGCCAAGAACGTGCGCCCGTCAACGAGCATGGTTTGGAGTTCTCTGATGGACGCGGGCAGCAGCAACACTTCGGTCTGCAAGACGGTCTTCCACCGCTCCAAGAACGAGATACAAACGCATCTTCTCAGACTAAGCAGGAAGAGAAAGAGATTCGGCAACGAGAACAGGACGCAGAACGGGAGTTCTACAACCAGTATCGCAACCCAATTGCTAGGCTGCGAGCCAAGTACCCACAGGCACCTGCGGAGTTCCTCGCCGTACGTGTGATCCCCTGTATTGATCGAAGCCTTGCTAATACCGTGTAGACGTTCGTATACCTCCTCATTGGACTGTGCGTCAATCTTTCGGTCGCCACATCTCAAGAAGGCACCGGCAGCTTCGAGACCCAAGCTTGGGGATGGGGCTTCGCAGTCATGATTGGCATCTACCTTGGCGGTGGTGTCAGCGGTTCGCATCTCAGTCCGACAATCTCGATCTCGCTATCCGTCTACCGCGGGTTTCCGTGGAAGATGGCAATCGTCTACATCTTCATGCAGTTGCTGGCAGGACTTTGTGCCGGCGCTGTAGCTTACGCGTAAGTCAGATCATCTGCTGATCACAATGCCTCAGTTGCTAACTTCGTGATAGCCTTTACGCAGATGCTATTCATGCAGTAGACCCCGGTCTCACCCTAGAGATGACCGGCAAGGCTCTGTTCCCTCAAGGACCCATCTACTCCACTGCAACCGGCTTTTTCAACGATTTCGTCTACATGGCCATCTTCGTCTGCGTCATCTTCGCCCTGGGAGACGACCAGAACTCGCCTCCGGGCCAGGGTATGACAGCCTTCGTTGTCGGTCTTACAGGCTTCGTCACGATGATTGGACTTGGCTACAACACGGGTCTGGGTATCTCACCAGCGCGCGATCTTGGTCCCAGACTCATCGGGTTGTGGGTTGGATATGATTCGGCCTTTGAGAACGGGTACTGGGCCTATGGTTCTTGGGGCGCATCTATTGCTGGCGCGTTGTGTGGTGGCTTGATGTACGATTTGTGCATCTTCGTGGGTGGAGAGTCGCCCGTCAATTACAGGTGGCCGCAGCCGGGGGATATTAAGTGGAAAGCGAAGGAGCAGAAAGATAAGGCCAAGGATAAGATTCAACAGGTGGCGTAAGCTTTCGCAAGTAATTCTAATAATTGGAAAAAGGAAAAAAAAGTCGATGCATTTATTCAATAGATCCCAATGAAGATGTAGTCGCGTCGGTTGGTGCAAGGGAGCTTGCGATTGCGGCTCCGGGAATAGGACGACCGGAAACCGAGCGCGGCGCGTCATGCCCAACCACCGATCCGCAACTTCTCCATTGGATATCTCACGATCATGACCTCTACGGGGAAGATTGGGTCCGATCGGATATATCGCCGGCTGGCGATCGAACGCTGCACGTAAGCTTATTGTTAGCCGTCTGGTTTGCGATGCTGCTAGAGCCTCATCCGTCGCACGTCTTCAACGACCGTCACCACACGAGCAACCATGCAATGACAGCAAACACCCAAAACAGACGATAGAATCTTCTGAAATCAACAAGAAGAATCACTGAAAAATGGCTACATCCCCACACACCGCTGACACGACCCCGTCGTCAAAGCCAAAGATGCTCCACCAAGAGCAGAAGCGACCAGACCGCAAAATAGGCATACGCGAACGATTAAAGCACTTCACATTCGCCTGGTTCCTCTCCACAATGAGCACAGGCGGTCTCGCCCTCGCCATCGCAGAGACACCGCATCAATTCCCCGGTACAAGCTCTCCATCATCCTGCCGCGCATACCAATACTAACAAGCAAACCCTAGGCCTCTACCACATAGGCCTAACCATCTTCTTCCTCAACATCGCTCTCTTCCTCCTCCTCTTTACCCTTACAACCCTCCGCTTCATCTACCACACTTCCCACTTCCTGTCTTCCTTTCTCCACCCGCAGGAATCCTTCTTCCTCGGCTCTTTCTGGCTCTCCCTCAGCGTAATACTAGCTGGTATCCAAACCTACGGCATCACCCGTGGTCCTGCGTACTCCTGGCTCATCGACGCAGTCTACGTGTTATACTGGATCTACGCCGCGTGCTCGCTCGCAAACTCGATATTCCAGTATTGGGTATTGATCCAGTGGGGAAAGGTGCGTCCTGTGCCGCCGTTACCGAGTATCTTCCTCGCGGGATATTCAGCGATGTTGACGGGGACGGTGGCGAGTATGGTGGCGGGGACGCAGCCAAATGAGCGAGCCGTTGCGGTCATTGTATCGGGTGTCGCGTATCAGGGGTTTGGGTGGTGTATTAGTCTTGTCGCTATCGTGGGGTTCGTAAGGAATCTACTGGATAATGGGTTTCCACCAAGTCAGTTACGTCCCGCGTTGTTTATACCGGTGGGGAGTGGGGCGTATACGATTGTTGCATTGATCGGTCTTGCGAATGCGGTTCCGGACAGCATGTCACAAGGTTACTTTGCGAAGCATCCTGCTGCGCCAGAGATTTTGCGTATTTTGGCGCTTTTCACGGGGGTTTTCTTGTATGTGTTTAGTTTCTGGTTGTTTGCGATTGCGCTGCTGGGGAATGTGGGGGTGGTGGGTAGTATGCCGTTCAGTCTGACGTGGTGGGCTTTCATATTCCCGAATGTGGGGTTTACGCTTAGTACGAGTGTGTTGGGGAGGGAGTTGGAGAGTGAGGGTATACTGTGGGTGGCGAGTGTGATGACGGTGTTGTTAGTAGTGATATGGTTGGTGACGGTTGTGGGATGTGTGAGAGCTGTTTGGAGGAGGCAGATTGTTTGGCCGGGCAGGGATGAAGATAAGAATCGTTGAGTAGTTGGGTCAATACACGGTTGTGTATGTGTAGCTTCATGGAAGCGGATCGAAAGCACGTAGGACTGCGCAGAGTGAGGATAGACAAGATGGAAATATGCATGCATTGTGATCATACCATTATACTGAAGAGCGCTAATCGTGTGGTTTCGCGTCAGCGTGTTCACCAAAGCAACAGCAGATTCAATCTCCCCAAGCACTAGGTAGCTTGACCAACCCACTGCTTCCACGCCTCCACCCCAGCATCCACATCCAAAATACTCGTATGATCATGTGTCCTTCTCAATACAGCCCTACTCACCGGAACACCCGCCGTCGCAGTTCTTCCCAAAAGGTCTTGCTGACGATTCCTCACGAAGCAAAACTGCGGGAGGTAATGCTCCGAGTTGACCGAAAGACCGTTGTCCAGCTCGATAACATTGCTTTTACGCAAGAGAGGACCTAAATGACCCACAATGAGTGTTTCGAGTTTGAAATTCGGGTTCTGGTATAGTTCGCCGAACATCAGGTTGGCGAACTTTTGTACCTGCATGGAGATGATGCCTATGTCCCATCGGCTGCTGTAGCTGTGGCCAAGGCCGCCGACCATTTCGATGAGAGAGCGGTGGACGTGGAGGGTGCGGAGTTTCGTTAGGTGCCGGATGGAGTCTTGTGGGGGGTAAGTATATGTCATGATCCGTTGGCTAGTCGTTACAGCTTACTACGAAGTCCTCTAAGTTGATGTACCACATCTCCGCCATGAGAAACTCCTCATCCACCCCAGCAGCGAATTGTTCGAGATTTGGACATGATCTGCAAATAAGATCGAACTCTTTGGCATTGATTATCTCGGTTTTGGAGTATAGACTGACCTGGGGGCAGAGGGTCGAGAGTCCAATGGCCGAAGTGGAGACTGCACAAGTTCGGACATGCTTTCAGAAATTTGACTAAATGTATGTTACGCTCGTCTTCAGGTTCGACGGTGGCAGTTGAAGACAAAAGTTCGTTCAAGGCAACGTGCGTAAGGTCAAACTGCCGCTTTGGCACTGCACCTGTTATGTCGGATACAAATTTGAAGCATCCGGCGCATTCTACTAGGTCGAGTTTAAGCAGCTTACCGAAATCGATGATTGTAGACAAGGAACTGTACATGTGCGTCAACCTCAAGCCAGTCAATCTGAGTTCTTTCAATGGAAGTTTGGGCTGATTTGGTTCCCAGACGTGGTTCCAGAGCAGCTTGGAAACGTCAGTGCCAATGTGGGCGCTCAGAGACAGGAATTGCAGGTTTCTTCCGATGGCTTGAAAATACTCGAGTAAAAGGCCGTTGAGTGACGACCCATCGACGATATACATGTCCAGTCGTTTCAAATCGTTTTCGCGTTGACACAGTACTGGTAGTTCGTTTATAGTGTTCGAGTAGAGATCAACAGTAAGACTGACTTGGAGGTCTGTGATATTTCTCTGGTTCGATGTGAGCTTCTTGTGCAGCCACCACGGTAGTGATCGTCGAGCGAGGAAACTCTAGATGTTAGTAGGAAGCACAAGGTGAAATGAGTAGCTCCAAGCATACCGAAATGTACGAAGAGCGTTTGCAGGGATGATATCCAAGATCTGCTCAAGGTTGCTGTCACGTACTGCAGGTTCAACATCCGCAGTGCCAGAAGCGCCGACCCAACACTTAAGGTCAGGTAGTCCAACGGTACCGTAATTTACAGACGTCGTTTCCTCGGCGATGCACTCATCTTCTACGACGAGTTCTCTGGTATACTGGAGGTTTTCTTTTACGTTCTTCAGTAGTCCAAGGACATAGCTAGTGTTGTTTTTGCTGAACAGGCGAATATCGATGTGCTTGTAGAGCTTTTCCAGAGCGAGTTGGTTGAGTTCCTTTGACACCAGACATAGTGATTTTAGGTCGCTTCGAGTGTTGATCTGTTGTAGTCAGCACACCAAACATAGTGAGGGGCAACGCGGGTAGCATACGTAGTTAAGTACTCGTCTCTGGCAGTCGGTATTGAGTTGCAACATCGTCTTCGCAGCTCAAAGGATCACGATAGCCAGAACCAAAGATAAATTAGTAGGAGCCCTCTCCCAATATACTTGATGCATTAGAGGGGTTGTAGCAATCACCCTTGCCGAATGCATGTAGACGCCGCGGAGCCAGAAGGATTGCATCCATCCTTGCTAGACCTGCAGCCAGTGGTATCGTGTCAGCGCTCAATTGACTGTTGAACAAAGAACCCACGTCAGCGCTATGTATGCTGTATCCCCCGGCAATGCATGTCGTTGCGGCATATGGGAAGCTGCCGTGAAGGAACGACGAGTCGCATCGGCTACTGAAGCCGATCAAGGTCAGCGCTGGGTTCTTGTCCCGATGAGGAAGTTTCTTGTTTTTAATTCCAGATAAGCCTACTCCACAAACTTTTACGCGAAGCGCTCTGGGGAGTGCATAATACGATTTTAGATACATGTTCACGGCACTTGGGGTGGCTAGAACTCGTGTTGCATTTGCTGCATAAATTCTGTTGAATTTGAATAACCAGACAGCTCCTAAGACGACGTGTACTCTCAGCTAAACGATCTTCTTGATGATAATTCCCCGAGGCCCAAACCGTTACATCGCTCGAGTTGCCCACGCCTCCCAATTATCGGCGGCAGAATGGTGATCGACTTCCAGAATATCTGTGTACGGTTGCGTTTCGCGCAACATCATCCTTGTAACGGGAACCGCAACGGGGACGGTGCGACCTAGGATATCCCGTTGCTCGCCGCGGAGGAAGCATTGCTGCGGAAGTGGACGTCGGTGCACTGGGGGGTTTTCTGGGGACTTCAAAGTCGCCACATGACCGATTACCAAGGCATCCAGCTTTGACTCTGGACCTATAAACTCAAAGAATCGGTTTGCGAAGGTTTGCAATTGAAGGACTAATAGTGCAGGGTCCCACTCGTTTTCACTCCGCCCCATTTGCCGAGAGTGTGGTAGGCAGAGGTGGAGCAAGCGTAGTTCTCGGAACTCTCTTAAGAACGTCTACAAGTTGTTAGCTGTCATGCTCGAGGGCCACCGCCACTTCACACAAGGAAAATCTGAACAGGTCTGCAGCCTACAGCAAGATCGAAACATGCACAGTAGATGTACCAAGTCAACGTAAACTCCAGCGTGTTCAGCCTTTTTCCTGAACGAGGTGCGGCTCTGAATCCGATGTTCCACTTACCATAAGAATCGCAAAATTGCCCTCTTCACCCCATAGGCCGCCAAGCATGGCTGCTTCCTCGAAGTACACCGCAAGCTGTTTCACTTGTCGAAAGCGGTCTTGGCTTACGCGGAACAGCATATCTACAGCATCTTGGTTATATCTGCCCCAATTCCACTCACTGGTATGGAAGCTCAGACTTTGTAAATTGTGAGGGGGAATATTGAGCGCCAATAGTAAGTCGAGTAGAGCGATATCGACGTGCGAGACGCGTATATGGAAGCTCTCAAGGGGCTCACAGGCCCTGTATATCCGGATCAAGGCCAATTTCAGAGGAGGGATTTCATCAGAGAGGACATCACCCGCAAGCTCCACAGCGAGGTGTTTTAAACGAAGCCTGTCGTCGTCCTCGATACTTTCAGCAAGCTCCACGAAAACGTCTTGACTTCCCCCGGAGCTTCCGAGAAGCTGCAGTCGCACAAGCCGATGGAAGTTGATAATCATAGACAGTGGTACGAAAGCGTGGGTGAAGGCGAAACTGGTAAGCGTAAGCTCTTCAAGTTTGGGTGTGAATTGGGTGTAGTCGTTCTCCACGCCCATTGCCCAGGTATTCAAGTCCTCATGTGAATCCCAGGAATCCGCTCCTGTCAGCGACAAGGATCTTAAGTTAGCGCCTACAGCTCTAATGTTGTTGAACAAGAGAGCGGTGCTTGTTGGTCCATCGATATAAAGATCGAGGCGTTGCAGACCACAAAATATCCGAGGTAGCACTTTGGGAAATCCGGGATCAGTGTACAAGCGTATTCGAAGGTCTTGTATTTTCGTCTGGTAGTGGCGCAGATGATTTCTAACAACTGGTGGGAGAGGGCGCCGCGAATGGTACCTGATCGCATCAGCTTCCACATCGAGTGCTAGCACACTCAGATAGTAGCTTACCATAAGCGCTCTAATCGATTGTGATGCATGATCTGCAGAAACGAGTAGGCGGCGTTGTCTCTCTCAGACTCGGTCAGGTAGGTAGCATTACTCCGACGGTCCAGAACAGGTGGGCAGATCCGTCCGGTATGTATGGACCAGAGCTCTTCGCCGATAGCTTCGTCTTCGATGATGAGCTCCTTCGTGTGCTGAAGGTGTAGGCCAGCGCCTGCCAGATTGGACTGCTGGAGACGATCCACCGCACGCCGACTCCATAGGCGCAAGACGATACGCCTGTAGAGTAGCGGGTTCGCGAGAACACGCAGAGCTGAGCATGTTCTACACAGCGATGTTAGATCGCTTTTTAGAATTATCTAGCTCAATTAGTATGTGTTTTGAAGCCCTCATGCGGACTAGCGTACGTGATCAACGATCCTCAGTTGAAGCTCTGTCGGAATACCCAATAGATTGGGTGGATATGTGGGTGACTGTCCCGAAAGATCCATCGCATCTGTAGACATCTTGAAGCGTAGACTTTACACAAGGTAGCAGAAATCGAGGTGTCGTGCAGGAGTGTGTTGAGTTCACGAAGAGCGTACGATGGAAGACCGGTAGCGGAGTATGGCCGGGCTTAGGTATTGCCGAAGTCTTACCGAGAGCGATGGCACCGAAGTGAGCACAAAGACGAACCAAGAGCATGAATGCGAAGTTTTACTCTCCTATCTCCCCTCTAGCCAATGACTGTATTGTAGCTCTGCTGAGAAATCGAAGCCAACTTGGAAGGCTTAAAATAAACACGTGGTAGTGAGCAATACCGCATGCTCGAAGTGCGAGCACTGCGTTCACTTCATGAGTGTATCGAGTTTCGGATATCATACAGCAAAAACCAAGTCGATATCCATTGTACGGTCCTGATCATCCAGAAAGCGTGACACGCAGCACACATGCAAAAGAACGTGAACCACATTATAATTTGGACATCGTACTTTATAAGACAATCCCCTGCGACCACCGGAGAAGACACCCTCTAAAGGATGTCTCAAGGCTCTACTCAGCTAACCCTCAGCGCAATCTCACACCCTCATCATTCACGGCCACTCAGGATCCTCCCTCCTCCTAAAGCAAGCCACAAACTTCAACCCCTTATTCCTCTCGACCTTCTTCCCTTCTTCAGTTTCCACCCTCATCGCCTTGACACACTCATCCATGCCCACGCCCTCGACCCCATCCACAGTCTCCCCCTCCTCAAACACCCTCTCCACGCGCTCAAAACACGGATGTCTCTCAAAATGCCCCTTCATCCACTCATGCAGATCCTGCACGTCCGTAATCGTATACACCACCCCACCAGGTCTTAGCACATACGCATACTCCGAGTTTAACGTATAAGACACGATTCGCGCTTTGTGTTTACGTTGTTTGAAATGCGGGTCCGGGAAGCAGAGGAAGATTTTTGATAACTGGTGTTTTTGGAAGAAGTTGGGCAGGAATTTCATGGTGTTGGCGCGGATGCAGGATGTGTTTTGGTAGGCGTTGTTCGAAGCGTTTTGGACGCGTAGGGCGCGGACTTTTTCTTGCACGTATTCTGTTACTGAGGTGCGGATTTCCATGCCTGTATGTCATGTTAGTTTGGTTATACTGTTGTGTCTTGCGTTGCGACTCGGAAAAAGAGGTGGCGACGGAGATGTGTACCTACCGAGTATCAATGTGTCGGGGAACTTGGGTGCGAGTGCGAAGAGTAGGCCTCCGAAGCCGCATCCTATGTCTGCTATTTCGACATTCTTTGATATCGCATTTGCTTCCCGTTGCTCTTCTATGCTCATATCATGTGACTCACTTTGCCCTTCTTCCGTCTCTTTCTTAGGATGTTTGGCGTACATGGGGTATAGACTCGCCCAGTCCATATCTGCGGGGCTCTTGGGGCTGCATCATGTTAGGTCCATCTCTCACAAGAACCCAAACCATCTTACTATGTGAGCGAGTGATCTGAAAAGGGATTCGCATGGGCGCGCTGCCTGTAGAACTTCTTCTTTGGCATTGCGCCCTGCTGCTCCTCCGTCTGCAGCGACTTCTTATACTCCTCGCGCCTTGTGCGCTTTGCTGGCTCGCCTGGCATGGTGATTGTGGTATACGCAATTATCAGATGTGCAAGACAGTTGGGTCAAAGGTAGATGTACAGGTGCTGAGGTAATAGTCGATTAGTTGCGTATCACGAAGCGAGTTTTTCGCTAGCGCCAGGGTCTCTGGTCCACCACATCTGGAGTAACACGGCCGTTCGCGCAACGATCCACTGCTTGTACGACAAAGTTACTACAAAAAGCCCGACGACCTTGGCACCCTGCATACGGTTCGTGGGAAGAAAAATCGATACAAGAAGACAATCCCAGGTGTGCGCCCAAATGCTAATCCTTATCCATATCCAATGCCCAGTCGTTCAGTCATCAACATTATCGGAATTCAATCGCGCCTTGACACCCAAAATCTTGGATGTGTTTCAAATTGAGCTTCTGGAATCTGGGGCATGTCAGCGTATTCCCATCTTGGTCGAGATATTAGACTCACTTCTCGCTCTTAGCGTGGAAGTAGATGCCCTCGATGCCACCCGAGAGCTGGTTGAAGCAGATGTAGTAGAAGCCTTCAAAACTCGCACCATTTATGGTCCTCACTCGGTGATCTGGCACGAGAAAGTACTCCTTCCATCGCATGAACAGGTGCTCCTTCTGGCTCAGGTCTTTCGACACTTGTTCCTGGCGCGAAGAGTACTTAGCAATCGGCTTGTATGCGTCGAACCGCCCCCAGTGTTGCCGGTCGACCTTCTCGTTAGAGCCCCATTCTGGATGTTGTGTAATGAAGGTGTATTTGCTTCCAATGATCTCGCCTTCGAAGTACGTCGTCAGACTCGGATGGTCTTCCGTTAAACCTATGGACGTATTAGTCACAAGCCCTATGCATCGCACTGCGGAGATGTGTGCGCACCTTTGATGCGCAAGTATCCACACATGAAGGACTCGCGCATGTCGACATGTTTTATGTCGACTTCGACGTCATACTGCTGGCGGTCGGAGGTTTGAGTGCCCACGAAGCGACTGCCGGGCCGAAGGAGGGACGAGGATGTATTGGGTAGGAACTGCATCGGCATTAGCAACGTCTACTTTGCGCATTGCTGTGCATGCAAGCTGGTCTGACCTACCCTATGCGCAGGGAATGGGGATGATAGATGGCTGGCGAGTAGCGAAGTTGGCGCAGCGGGAGAAAGCGGCGAGACGTGAGAGGTGCGTTGCTCTTCAGTGCCGTCGTCTGTCGCCGTCATAGGCGTGGGTATGTCTCTACTCGGTGAGTCTCTGTCGGTGCTGGATAGCTTGGTCTGGATATCGTCGGGCGCCTGGGTATGCTCGCGCGAGTTTTGTGGGGACGGAGTGGGCTGCTGCATGGGAACATCTGGCACGGCGCTGGCATTGCTGTCGTGGTGGGCGCCTCGTGTCTCATCCAATTCGTGGGTCGCGATAACGCGCGATTCCTCGGGTGGACAAGTCGGGCGGCCAGCGATGCTCTCGTGCTCCATCGGCGAGACCATGGCTTCATCATCCGGCGTCGGCATGGTCCGAAAGCAGGTGCGACGAGACTACAGCGAAGGTGCGAGGCGATTATGCATGGGAGGGGAGGGGGATGAATGTGCGATTATACAATAGAGCCTTGCGGGAGCCAGAAGCGTGGCGATGGGGAAGAATGCATGCTGGATGGATGACTTGGACTCGGCGGAGGTGTCTAGGCGGTTCAAAGTTAGTGGGTCGCTGAGCTGCACTTACGCGGGGAAACAGCACTAGGCTCACGTGGGATGACATGGGGCCAAACCTAGACACATTGGAACATTCTCTATCTAGGCCGGTCGAATGCATCTGTAAAGTGTATTATTATTTCTTGCCAAGTGAACTATGGTGACCTCCCGAGCCGACCCGTAGGGCCTAGAGATTTTTGGTTTGATGGCCCTATTACTGGGCATCCTTCTCCCATACACCATCGTCCTAGAAGGGATCACGGAGATCAGGTGACACTAGTCACAAGCAGATGTCGTTCCTCCAGTTGACTCCGTACGCCGTTCCTACGTCATTCTACGTCGAGCCGCGGTTGTGCCACATCCCCGTGGCTGTGCGCTGTCGGCAAAAGCAACGCTACTGTGCCTCCATGTGGGCAGCGAGAGGCTTAGATGGGCTTGATCTACAACGCTGTGAGTCTTGATGTTCGACGTGAGCACATTTGATCGCATACCTTGAAGTGCAGGGATATTAAAGAAAAGACCAGAGCCTTGAGATCCTGCACCAGGTAGTAGAAGACGCGAAGGCCCTCTGGATCTGACGAGTCCTGCACATCCTGAAGCGACCCAATTTTCGCAGTCTATCACCGTTAGTCCACAGAAGGCCGTGAAAGATAGACCACCCTACCTCAAAGGAGATGTGCTCGCTGCCTAACCGGATCTCCAACTCTTGACGACCATCTTTGTTTTTCTGAGGCCACTTTGTGTCATCTTCCCTTGGTATGAGTTAGCAGATGATATCTAACTTCCGTTCCCTCACATACTTGAGGATCTCACTGTCCTTGACAATCTTCTTGATCTCGGCTACCAAAGCATCGCTGACACACACTGAACAACGCGTTAGCAACACACTGCGTTAGAGGCAGGAAATGACTTGCTCTCTTTCCGAATGAGTGAATCATTGCGGTAGTTTGAGTTGTTGGCATAACGGGCAGATGCGCTGCGACCATCTCCGAGCACTCGAAAATCAAACTCTATACCAAAGTTAGACTCAAGGTTCTCTTTTCGCAACAGCTTTACGCACCCAAGAACTCGTGTCCGAATCGGCCTTGGTGACCAGAGCTGCGAAAATGTTAGTAATTGCACGTGCTTCGAGGATACCCAGCCTACATACTAGTAACGCAGGTAGAATGGCTCGTTGGTTGTCATGTTTGCGACTACCTATATCGGGCTCTAACGATGCGCGTACAGGAATTCGCAGTGCTTGGGTTGCGCGTGTCGTGGTGTTGATGTACCGTCGCGGCAGAGGGTTGGAGATCTTGGCGTCCAGACCCCTGCAAGCCTAGCGAGGCGGCCTTCGCTGGAGCGACCATTTCTCGAGCAGACACCTGGAGGTAAACAGAGTCCCGTCGAGCATTGCACCCAAATCTCCAACAAGCCACCTCTCCGACCAGGCCACTCCAGTCCTTTCACACTCCCCGCTAGGCTGCAGCTGCGCCAAACCTCACGACTCCCTCCACCGCCCCCGTCGATCGATACACGTAGCCCATCCCACTTATTCTGGACTCCACGGGACATTGAGGGCTGACGGCCACACCGGGAGTCACGTTATCGCAGCTGGACACTGTACACCTCGGGTCAATCGCAACTACCGCATAAACCGGCAGCATGGCGGCGTTTCTCGAGAACTCGTACAGTCTGGTAGGAACACCTGGCAGGTCATGGGTATGGGGAAGCTGACGGGCAACACCAGGTGCACCAGGACAATGCCGCCGACGTACCATCACAGAACGAGCTGAAGAATGCTCTGGAGAAGGGCAGCGATGAGCAGAAGATCGAGACCATGGTGCGCTCTTGCAATGGCACTGCCCCGCCTCGCTGAATGCGACCGTCTGACAGCTCTGCAGAAGAAGATCCTCTCGATTATGCTCAATGGCGACCCCCAGGCTGGCCTACTCATGCACATTATCCGATTCGTCATGCCCAGCAAGTCGAAGCCGCTCAAGAAGCTCATGTACTTCTTCTTCGAGGTCTGCCCCAAGCACGACGCCCAGGGCAAGCTAAGGCAGGAATGGATTCTCGTCTGGTGAGTGCATGGAGGATACCACATGAAGCTCGCTAATTCGGACAGTAATGCGATTCGATTCGACTTGCAGGCGCCCAACGAATACGTACGAGGAAACACATTGCGCTTCGTGTAGGATACTCAAGGACGCCCACCCGAATACTGCTGACAGTCGGTACAGAACCAAGCTACGAGATGCTGAGCTTGTAGAGCCACTGCTACGTACGAGTCTTGCTCACTACACTTACCATCATGATACTGACAATCGCAGAACCGGTGCGCCAATGCCTCACACATCGACACGCGTACGTCCGAAAGAACGCAACCTTCGCAATCGCATCCATCTTCACACATCTTCCCGAGCTCATGCCAGATGCGCCCGACCTTCTGGTGACATTCCTCGACGACGAGAACGATCCAACGTGCAAGCGCAATGCTTTCGCCGCCCTCGTCTCTGTGAGCCACGAGAAGGCTCTCGAATACCTCAGCACTGTTTTCGATGCTATACCCAACCACGAAGAGCTTCTCCTCCTCGCCGAGCTAGAGTTCATCCGCAAAGACGCCATCGTAAACCCATCCAACAAGGCCCGCTATCTCCGCTTGATCTTCGACCTCCTCGAATCGCAGGTATCGACCGTCATCTACGAAGCTGCGCACGCTCTTACCACCCTCACAAGCAACCCGGTCGCAGTCAAAGCAGCTGCTGGAAAATTTGTGGAGCTGGCGATCAAGGAGCCCGATAACAACGTCAAGCTCATCGTCTTGGAGAGGGTTGAGCAGCTGCGACACAAGAATGAGGGAGTCCTTGATGATTTGACTATGGAGGTCCTGCGCGTTTTGTCCAGTACCGACTTGGATGTGCGGAAGAAGTCGCTCAACATTGCCATGGAGATGATTTCAAGCAGGAATGTCGAAGAGGTCGTCCTTCTATTGAAGAAAGAGCTAATGAAGACGGTGGACGAACAATACGAGAAGAATCCCGAATACAGGTCGCTCCTCATCTCCTCAATACACTCCGCCGCCATCAAGTTCCCCGAAGTCGCTGCCAGCGTCGTTGGATCGCTCATGGACTTCATCTCCGATGTCAGCAGCAACGCTTCCGCAGTTGACGTCATTTCTTTCGTTAAGGAAGTCGTTGAGCGCTTCCCTGATCTGAGGGCCTCGATCATCGAGCGACTGGTTTCGACTCTTGGCGAGGTACGTGCTGGCAAGGTTTACAGAGGTGTGCTTTGGATCATTGGAGAGTTCTCTCTGGAAGCGAAGGACATCCGAGACGCATGGAAGGGTATCCGCTCATCACTTGGCGAAATTCCCATACTTGCTTCTGAACAAAGACTGTTGGACGATGCATCAGAGGGTAAGGAGAGCAGTGAGCAAGTCAACGGACACGCAAAGGCGGCAGCTCCATCTGGGTCGAGGAAAGTGCTCGCCGACGGTACCTATGCGACGGAAAGCGCCCTGACTTCCTCCGCTGCTGCCAAGGCGAAACTCGAGGCAGTCAAGAACTCACAGAAGCCTCCACTACGTCAGCTTCTCCTTGATGGCGACTACTACCTTGCTACGGTTTTGTCCAGCACTCTCACCAAGCTCGTCATGCGCCATGGAGAGATCTCAAAAGACGAAGCCCGCACAAATGCCCTCCGCGCCGAGGCCATGCTCATCATGATCTCGATTATTCGTGTTGGCCAATCGCACTTTGTCAAGACTTTCATCGACGAGGACTCCATCGACCGTATCATGTCATGTGTTCGCTCGCTGTCCGAGTTCTCGCAAAGAAAGGAGCTCGAGACTGTATTCTTGGAAGACACCCGAAAATCTTTCCGTACTATGGTCCAAACAGAAGAGAAGAAGCGCGCCGCCAAGGAGGCTTCCGAGCGCGCGAAGTCGGCTGTCAATGTTGATGACTCTTTCAACATCCGCCAACTAAAGAAGAAGGATGCGGACGGTAGCGATGAGATCGAACAAGATCTCGAAAGGGCGACCGGAGGCGACACCGCGACTGAGGATCTCACATCCAAGCTCAGCCGCGTCGTGCAGCTTACTGGTTTCTCCGACTCGGTATACGCAGAAGCATACGTCAAGGTACGTCAACACGAACTGATTGGAAACATCTACTAACTTTGCTAGGTCCATCAATTCGATATTGTCCTTGATGTTCTGCTCGTGAATCAAACGACTGAGACATTGCAAAATCTCACGATCGAATTCGCGACTCTTGGTGATCTCAAGGTAGTAGAGCGCCCGTCAACACAGAACGTTGGTCCCCACGACTTTATCAACATCCAAGCGACAATCAAGGGTAGGGCTTTCCTGTTTGCACTTTTCGGTCCGCATACTTACTTTTACAGTGTCATCCACGGATACCGGTGTCATCTTCGGAAACATCATCTACGAAGGGTAGGTCATCCGCAACAATACTCTGCAACAATTGCTAATATCCTGCAGTGAGAAGGGTGTTGACTCAAATGTTGTTATCCTCAACGATGTCCACGTCGACATTATGGACTACATCAAGCCCGCGCAATGCACAGAGACGCAATTCCGGACAATGTGGACCGAGTTCGAATGGGAGAACAAGGTCAACATTAACTCCAAGGCCAAGACGTTGCGCGATTTCTTGAAGCAACTCATGGCATGCACGAACATGAGCTGCTTGACTCCAGAGGCGTCAATGAAGGGCGACTGCCAGTTCTTGTCAGCGAACCTGTACGCTAGGAGTGTATTTGGTAAGTCTTCAAACTCACTTTGCATTAACAATACTGATAGAAAGCAGGTGAGGACGCTCTCGCCAATCTGAGTATCGAAAAGGAAGGTGACAATGGCCCTATTACTGGGTTTGTACGCATAAGAAGTCGCTCCCAAGGCTTGGCGTTGAGCCTGGGGTCGTTGAAGGGCCTGAACAAGGTCGGGGTAGCATGATTTGTCGGCTAATAAGCACTGTCACACGTCCGGGGTAGCGGGGGATGGGCGTTCCTACTAAGAAACGGTAGCAAAAGGAAGGTTGGTTGCTTCCTTCGTCTACAGGTCTTCGCGTACGACGCGTTGGGTCGATAGACATGTGGGTAGGATGGATGAATGTTAGTGTAGCATTGCCGTATCAAAGACATAAGAGTTCAAAATCATCACCTAGTCTCACTGTAAGCATACTCAAGTACACCCGTGAACAGTAGCCTCGTGTCACGTTCTTGGCTGGTTCGTGACTGCCCAGGTGAGATGCCTCGGTTGGCGAGCGGTGCAGGGTCCAACGGGAATGTTTCCTTTTTGTTTAGCACCAACGATCCGCCAGGATCCGCGCCCTTGCGACAGGGACGGTACCCATGAGCGTGACTTGACCGTCGTCAGCGTGCCTCTTGCTCTGGTCTAGTCTTGAACTGACTCCTGGTCTCGCCCTCTCCACAGCATGCTACGCGTCCCTTCCGCGACATCTCGTTAATTATGGCTTCGCTGGCGGGCTCCGACGATCCCTTTAGAGACCCTCTGCTCACCAACAACGCCGCTCTTTCGCAGCCGTCGCACGACTCGGCACCCACCCAGGAGCAAATGAATGTTCCCGACACGCTCGCTGTGGGCAGAAACGCCTCCCTGACCCTTGGAACCGACTCCTTGGTCGTACTAGGTGGGGAGATCATTCGCACATCACAGCGGCGCAAGGCTCACACAGCACAGACGAAGCGCTCCTAGATAGCAAAAGCGCCAGCTGCTGCGGCCTGTCTCTTGCTGGCAGTAAGTACTGACATGGCGACTAGGTAGCAACATCCGCTTACGCGACGCAGAGAACAAATCCATTCGTTCCATACCCTTTTACAACATCCTCTGGGCCGAGCACTCAGAGGACGGCCACATCACCGTCCAATATGCGCAGAACACATCGAAGAAGGCCGTTCGCCCCGCCATCATCAGCTATTCCCTGGACAAACCAGACAGTCGTTTAACGGAGGCATGGATAGAGAAGTTGCTGGATCGCGCATACGGAGCGTCGCAACGGCGCAAACGAATCAAGGTGCTCGTCAATCCGTTTGGAGGCCAGGGCGGCGCAGTCAAGACATACCACAAGTTTATTGCGCCCATCCTGGCTGCTGCACGATGTGAGCTCGACGTAGAGAAGACACAGCACAACGGCCACGGCGTGGAGATCGCGCAGAACATGGACATCGAGGCATACGATGTAGTCGCCTGCTGCTCTGGAGACGGCATACCACACGAAGTCTGGAACGGG